AATTGATAAGTTAAAATGCCATTAAAGGGAGATAACATCTCTTATGTTTTAAGTAATTCAGACCACAATGAAAGTATCGCGCAGCTTACTTCAAGGATGTAATCAGTCATCATTTGCTTAAGTGAGTGATGCTGAATACAGCTCATCTTGTTAAAAATTATTGGTAAATTGGTGAACTGTTAGTGAGTGATGTTGAGTAGTACTCACTACAGCTCATCTTGTTAAAGATTATTGGTAAATTGGTGAACTGTTAGTGAGTGATGTTGAGTAGTACTCACTACAGCTCATCTTGTTAAAGATTATTGTTAAATTGGTGAACTGTTAGTGAGTGATGTTGAGTAGTACTCACTACAGCTCTTGTTAAAGATTATTGGTAAATTGGTGAACTGTTAGTGAGTGATGTTGAGTAGTACTCACTACAGCTCTTCTTGTTAAAGATTATTGTTAAGTTGGTGAACTGTTAGTGAGTGATGTTGAGTAGTACTCACTACAGCTCTTCTTGTTAAAGATTATTGGTAAATTGGTGAACTGGTAGTGAGTGATGTTGAGTAGTACTCACTACAGCTCATATTGTTAAAGATTGTTGTTAAATTGGTGAACTGTTAGTGAGTGATGTTGAGTAGTACTCACTACAGCTCATCTTGTTAAAAATTATTGGTAAATTAGTGAACAGTTAGTGAGTGATGTTGAGTAGTACTCACTACAGCTCTTCTTGTTAAAAATTATTAGTAAATTGGTGAACTGGTATTGAGTGATGTTGAGTAGTGATCACTACAGCTCATCTTGTTAAAGATTATTAGTAAATTGGTGAATTGTTAGTGAGTGATGTTGAGTAGTGATCACTACAGCTCATCTTGTTAAAGATTATTAGTAAATTGGTGAACTGGTAGTGAGTGATGTTGAGTAGTACTCACTACAGCTCTTCTTGTTAAAGATTATTAGTAAATTGGTGAACTGGTAGTGAGTGATGTTGAGTAGTACTCACTACAGCTCATCTTGTTAAAGATTATTGTTAAATTGGTGAACTGTTAGTGAGTGATGTTGAGTAGTACTCACTACAGCTCATCTTGTTAAAAATTGTTGATAAATTGGTGAACTGTTAGTGAGTGATGTTGAGTAGTGATAATTTAAGGTGATTAGTGATATGTTTTTACTCAGAAGATGGAACTGTTACAACTTAATCCGATAACGACATTGAATTAGTTAATATAATGACTTTAATTAAGTAGGCAAATCAAAACGATTTATTTACAACCGGAGTGTTTCTACCTCGGGTAAATCTGCAAGAAAGCCAGAGATAGTGTAAATGTAGTTTTTGACAATGATATATGCGCTGATATGTAACTTTTCCAGATATTTCATATACATTATAGGTCGAGCTCGATGTTTGTACTGGGATTTCATGGCTGCACTAATTCCTTTCACAAGTTTTCCAAACCTTGAGGATTTCGGGCTTGTTGGTGAACTAGGAGTCGAGCTGTCTCTAGAAGTATGTTTCTTTTTAGTTTTGGAATCACGCGAAGGGCTTTTCGGGGGAGTTTTGGTGCGATTTTTAGCCGGCGTATTAGGCCTACCATCTGTTTGTGACCTAGGGTCGTCTTTGGAAAATTCTATTTCAAAATCCATATCCAGAGTAATTCCGTGAGCTTTTTTGATCCGCGAAGCTATATCGCAGATATTGTTACAGACTTTCAAAAGCAGCAGCTTACACATGGCGTACTTCCGGTTTGTTACAGGGAAATCGACACCATGCGTTAAATCGCCGACATACGTCATAAAAGCATTGGCAATCTCATTTTTGAGAACTACTTGCTTTTGGAGTTTCACTTCTTCTTGCATATATAGCAACGATTGTCTAATGGTGCTAACCGGAAGTGACCATTTATCGAATTTATTTTCCGGAAGTGATAATTCGGCTATTTCAATTATCTTAGCGACGGTTTCACTACGATAGAAATGGCCAGGATTGGTTGAAGCGAATAAATCTCTACCAGTTATGGATTTGAACCATTTTGGATCGACATGTTCAGGAAATCCTTCTGTTCTTTTCGGTGGAGGTTCCCAAAACATCCGGTCTATTACTCCATCTAGAATATTTTGTACAAAGCTTGACTGACATTTGTCTTCGATCTCTCTATCGATTTCATCACCGTCTTGTCCCAGCTGTCTCAGATCTTTAGCAATACCCCAAACAGTTAGTGTTATTTCCCTTGCCAATATAGGAGCCGTAACAAGGCGCCACTGTTCTGAAAAAATGGCTGCCCGATGACAATGGAATATTGCTGATACATTTTTATTGTAAATTATTGGTAAATTGGTGAACTGTTAGTGAGTGATGTTGAGTAGTACTCACTACAGCTCATCTTGTTAAAGATTATTGGTAAATTGGTGAACTGTTAGTGAGTGATGTTGAGTAGTACTCACTACAGCTCATCTTGTTAAAGATTATTGTTAAATTGGTGAACTGTTAGTGAGTGATGTTGAGTAGTACTCACTACAGCTCTTGTTAAAGATTATTGGTAAATTGGTGAACTGTTAGTGAGTGATGTTGAGTAGTACTCACTACAGCTCTTCTTGTTAAAGATTATTGTTAAGTTGGTGAACTGTTAGTGAGTGATGTTGAGTAGTACTCACTACAGCTCTTCTTGTTAAAGATTATTGGTAAATTGGTGAACTGGTAGTGAGTGATGTTGAGTAGTACTCACTACAGCTCATATTGTTAAAGATTGTTGTTAAATTGGTGAACTGTTAGTGAGTGATGTTGAGTAGTACTCACTACAGCTCATCTTGTTAAAAATTATTGGTAAATTAGTGAACAGTTAGTGAGTGATGTTGAGTAGTACTCACTACAGCTCTTCTTGTTAAAAATTATTAGTAAATTGGTGAACTGGTATTGAGTGATGTTGAGTAGTGATCACTACAGCTCATCTTGTTAAAGATTATTAGTAAATTGGTGAATTGTTAGTGAGTGATGTTGAGTAGTGATCACTACAGCTCATCTTGTTAAAGATTATTAGTAAATTGGTGAACTGGTAGTGAGTGATGTTGAGTAGTACTCACTA